AAAGCACTGAATAACCACTAGGGCTGAAGGATGCAGAAATGGAGACAAGAAGAAGAAGAGAAGTTAAGACAAGTGCAAAAGACATTAGTGAGGGGCATGCCCAGCTGAGGGAAAACCTAACAAAAACCTATGGGTAAAGAGGCCACATCATGGTACATGACAAACCATGAGACAAATCTACTGGGAATGGACCCAAAACAGCATGTCAAGTGCATAATAGCAAAGAATCCTGAAAAACGTATCTCCCTGATGGATGATATAAGAAACAATCATTGAATTGAAGGAGTGAATTATGACCAACCTATCCATAAAAAGATGGAGGAAATGGAAACATGCCCAATGAATGACAAGAAGTTTGAGAACACTGATGTTGAATGAATGCTTTTCCAGGGCCCACACACCAAAAGTCATGTCAGTGTTAAGAGGTATGTCCTAGCCTGACAGAGAAGCATCTGTGAATAAATGGAGTTCCAGTCAATGAGAGGGGCAAAGGGATGCCCACTATTGTATTAGCACGATTAGATGTACCAAATATTGGATAGGTGTGACAAAATACTTGGAAAGATGGACAAGCCAGCCCAGTCATGAAGCATCCCACAGAAGTATGCAGGTGTGAGGTGCCAATTGCCCAGGCAATAATGAAACTTCAGCTCCAATCTGTGAACATGGCAGGTGAATGCCCCCATGACTTAATTAAAGACATAAGAAGCAGATGCAATGCCAGAAGGTAGAGCACTGAACTGGAAGACTCAATCCCAATGGATGAAATGAAGAAACATCTGGAGAGTGAGGAGATCAGGATGTGTAAAAAGACATCCAAAACATCGAACAAGGTCATCCACAGAACTGGTGAAAAGAACCAACAATGAGAAAAGAAACCATATACATGAAACGAAAGAATTACAAAAAACTGGATGAGATGACAGGTTGATAACCAGAAGCTAGTTCCCACTCTTCTTGGGGACCACAAAAAAAAGACAACAGTAATAATCCAGAGTAGGGATAAATATCTCTTGGTGGTGTTCTTGACCAAATAATTTGAGACTGCATCCTTGAGATACTGAAAATAAATGCAATCAGAGGGAGGGAGAAAAGAAACCTCAAAAAAAGAGGGAGAAGAAGTGTGAGAGAGAGAGAGGCCATATGTGAGAGCCTGAAGAACACATCTGTCAGCCAGAAACAGAAACCAAAGACTGGCAAAGAGAGACAAGCAGGATCCCAATCTAGTCACTGATCAAAAATGGAAGGATAGAAAGGAGGAGGAGGCGGGGAAGCTGGAAGGAGAAGGAAAGACATGGATTCAACAGGACTAGGAGCAGAAACAGAAGGATGAGGTTGAGAAATATGAGAATTAAACCAAGGTAAACAATGAGGACTGATGCCAGGCTGCCTTGGCCCAGGTCTCCAGTGAATCAGGAGCATCCCTGAAGATCCCCGGGGTGAAGAAATGGAGTCCAACGAAGATCACAGAGATACGTGTAAGGGAGGCATACATTAGCTAGGACAGTATTCCATCCTAATAGCAGAAGAACCAAATAAGGAGGAATAGGGCAGAATAATAATTATGGGCCAGTGTTGTGAGAAGAAGACCAAACCTCTTCAGAAAGTGATGAAGTACCTCAGAAATAAGATGAAATGACAAGAGGTAATGCAGGAGTGTCATAAGAAATAAATGAAGGTATGAAAATTGGGCACTAGAAATGGAAATAGAAGTTAAGCAGGTAAAATAGATTACAAATACTGGGAATCAAGGAATGAAAATTAAGAATGGTTGTAAGCCAGGACAAGAGTTAAATAGATGAGGAGGACAGGTGTATGGGTGCACAGTTATTCAAGAAATCAGGCCGTATGGATCCCTAACATCAGGCAAAAGAGGGAACACAAAGTAATCTTGAGGATAGATTTCATGTAGTAAAGCATGGTTGGAACCAAGAGAAACAGGGAAAAGAGAAAAAAGGATATACCAGCAAAATCATGTCAAGCAAGAGATCAGAAGTGTAAGAATTTTCCTTGACAGATAAAGCTGTGCCTAGAGCAAATTATGGTGAGGGAAATATTCAGTCAAAATCATCATCATCCTGGCCATGTTTAAACTGGGAAGAAGAAACAGAAGCTGAATGGACAGAAAGAGAATGCCTAGTGTGAATGAAGGAACCCACAACATGCTGAACAATGGCTGCCACAAACAAAGAGCCTCCAGTAGCCACAGGTATCACATTAAAAACATCATCACTATCACGAGACAAAGTGGAAATTACTATCACATAAGAGTTCCTAATGATGAGTATTCATCAAATGTTTTGTTTTTAATAAGGGAATAAAATAAACCAAATTGGTTATGTGAAACATGAATGCAAAACTATTGCAAATCTCCAGTAATTAATGAATAATTCTAGAACACATCTGTTCTAGACAATGCCAAAAAATAATCAAGTTAAATTGAGCACAAGTACTTAAGAGAAGCTAATGTGCAATGAGGTTGTTTTACCTATTGGTGTAGGGGTATCGCTGCATGATGATGACATGAACTAATGCACTTCATATTAAACACATTTTTTCTGATGGGAAATATCTCAAGGCTAGTGGCATGCAAATCTCATGGACAGATGCAAGAAGGAATCAAGTTATCTTGTGAACAGATATTCGGTATTGTCTTAAAATAATACAATTTGATCATTACAGCACACCTATGGCTTCACAGTATGAAACAATTTTTGTGGCAATGGGACCATCAACCCTTCATTAAAAGTCCAAGCACATTAACCAATAGGCCACATCCAGCCAAATTTATGTTAGAAGTACTGGATATGTCAAACTTGTTAAGCAAGTTTCCAAGTTCCTAGAGTAGTATAAAAACTGAAATGGTCTAAACTGCTGAGCTTTGTATCTAGTAATACTAAATAAAATAATATTAAACAAGTGTCATTTTTTATAAATTTCATTTCATATACTACTGGAATAACATGATCAGATCAGATTATGGAATTTCAAGACTGATATACAATTAAGTTATGAAGTCAAGAAAGATTACCTAAGGTTTCTTGTAAAGTGCAATTCTGTAGGAAACTGGAACAAGTGTAATAGTGTAATACAAGAAGGTGACAAGTTTAATATCTTGGCTAATCTCAGAATTTCTGATAGTGACAACAATCTAGAATGGGTAGTTATCTGTAGAAGAAAGTGAAAAGCTTTCATAATCATACAACTAATTTTTTATACAATCAGCAACCATTTATATAACAACTAAAATACATCGTAACTATAAATTTCAATTTTAAAAAGTGATGAAAAACATACATGCAATGCCTTATTCATAAAAACTTTAATCTACTAAAACTTACCAAGCATAACTATAGTTGAAAACAATTTTCTGTGGTTACTACTAACTTAAAAGATTCAAGACAAAAAAGTATTCAAGTTAGATAAAGTTTTGAAAAGGTATTCTATTTAATCCACACAAAAATAGAAATTATTCGACTATCTTCAGCCACTCTGAAATGAAATTTTTATAACTTACGATAACTACACAAAAGAAAAAACTAGACAATACTTTAGTTAGGTCTTGTACATCTCCTACAATTAAATTTTAATTATTTTAAATTAT